TCCGGCGCCACCCGCCTCTTCTTTCGGTGGCTCGGTATCAGCCGCAGGGTCTGCTGCTTCTATAGCCTTCACTTCCTCGGGAACTGCCTCACCTAATTCGGCTGCAGCCCCTTCCTCCTTGGCCTCCTCGGCTTCCTTCTCTTTCTCCGCCCCTTCTTCACCAGATTCTTCCTTCTTCTCTACCGCACCTTCGTCTGCTTTCTCCTACGATTGATAAAACGAGCGAGTATAGCCATAAATATTCGGTTATTAACCTTCGTGTTGTATGCCCAAAACTTTAAATACAATGCATAAGTGATGATGGACAATAAACTATAAGTTCCTTCCATAACGAAAGGAAGGACAACATGAATGAAATGTTTGATAGGGAATAGATAAAAACCTCAACCGCAGTCTCGGTCTCAGTCTCGGTCTCGACATTCTTGGCCTCGACGCCAGCTTCAGCAAAGTGTGAGGCCACAAGGGCAAAGATCATAGTCCTTGAAAAATACAACACTGAACTTAGGCAAAATGGCAAATACCATTTTAGAGAGCAGCAGGAGGGTTAACCTGGGCAGGCTCCACGAGGATGTCAGATTCCTTAGGTTTGCTCGCACAGCCTCCCATGGTTTTTGTTGGAAAGGATTTAGAAAAAGGGGCAAAAAAAATGGGATGAGCTGTGGAGCGTAGGCCTGTCGGAAAACTTCAAAGCATAAGATGCAAATGGGGAAGAAAGCCATAAAGAGCATTTATATAACAAAGGCGAAGACAGGCTATTCGTGGTAAGTTTGGTAATACCCTAACATGTCAGATTCGGGCACCGTCATTTTCTCTGTTAGGACCTATTCAACGGGAGGTGAAGACAACCTGGTTTTTTCAATTACCTTTCCTTTTTCTTTACATAGCTCCACCTCTCATATTCTTCTCCAGCATTCTTCCATTGTCCAGAGATTTGAGGTGGTTGTTCCTTATCTATTATTAAGACCGGAAAGAGAAAAATTGTCAGATCCGATGGTAGATCACAGGGAAATAAGTAATGAAAGAATTAAGGACAATGTCCAGACTGAAAACCAGCAGAAGTGCTGTAACAAAAATTAGGGCTCAATAGCTCCAATTCATATCCGTTTCCTATTTGCAAAAATGGCGATGCTCTAGCAGCTCGACACAAAGAAAAGCTTGTGGCTCATATTTTGGAAAGGCTCCGGCTTTTATTTTTTCATCTGAAGAATCATAATTCTCTTTTCTTCTTTCATGGTTTGCAATTCGGACAAAAAAATCATAACCAAGACAACACAACTTTTGATATCCATCAAATATAAAAACAATGACTGGAGACCCAAACTAAAAAGCTTAAATCTAACACCCTTTTACTAGTTCCAACTAAAGTAGAATCCAAACCCATTGCCGGAAAACACAAAATGGAAAACAGCCAACTGAGCCTAAACCCTAAACACGGAGAAAACGGCAGCAAACAATACTAACCAAAGCATCGAAGTGTAATTACGTTTTGATACCTGAATTCTTTAAGCATGGAAGGGAGCATATGAAGTGTAACTTTAAAGAAAAGACCGATAAACTTACAATAGAAAGAAAGGAGTGTGAAGAACGGGCCATTATCTTCTCTTTGAGAATGTCCCTTTCTTCAAAAGTCTTGCCAAGCGTGATCTTCCCGAGCTCACTATGCACTGTGGGATGCTAACATTATCTTTTGGAATTGCAGATTGGTTCGAAACGGGAATGGTTTCTTCCTCGAGAGAATGAACGTAAGCGACGCGATCCACAGGTGGAACGAGGAAGTGAATCCCTCCCCGAACCTTTCGATCACGTACGCGAAGGTTCCTTTCCGGCAATACGCGGATTTCATCGGTGGAGTTATCTGGTAAGTACATAACATTTTACCAACCACCTACGGAGCAACAAATCGATCAAACCCTAGTTCCTGCCTGATTTCGGAAGGAGAACAAACCGATTCATTCAAATTTCAATTCACACAGCAAAAAGAGAAATCGCAAACGGGAAAAACCTGTTCCAAGGATAACCGCCGGAGCTGAAGCGGCGGACTGGGGCGACGGCCGAGGAGGAGCGGCGGACTGATTTGTACGGACGAGATAGTTCCATCTTTGCAATTGGATCTCGGACCATTATGTGTAGTGAGTCAATAACAAGTCGGTGTCTTACAGTACAAAGCCCTTGCACAGATACTTCGAATATATATTTTTTATTATTTATTTTCAAATAGTTTTTTTTAGGGGAAAAAAGGAAAACGGAGCATGTATTTAAAATTTGGAAAATGAAAAGAAAGAACCATTTGACTAATTTTCAGCAAAATTCCGTAATCAAATCATTTGTAACTTTATCAATAAAGGCGTGTATATAGCATATATATATCATTTGACGAAAAATATGAATATATTTATGCGAATTTAGATACGGGTTTTATTTTATATGTTTGAAGCTGAAATGGATACAAAAAAAGTTCGACCAAATACATATGTTAGGCTAACCATCTTAGTCTAAATAGAAATAAATAAGGAAGTAATTTACTTAAACAAATGGTTGGCCACCGAAAATTAACAAAATTCAGGGACCCACAATATTTGCCTATCCATTTAATATGTGATGTATATTTGCCTATCCATTTAATATGCGATGTATAATCTTGGACACTTATACAAGATCCGACAAAACCGGCTTTAGCGCCATAGTTATGTCTTTTCATTGCTTCCATATAACGATAAGGAGAAGGAAAATTCTTTAAGGAGAAAAAAGCAAATCGTATTTAGTGGTGGACAGGAAAATAAAAGTCTCTTTATAAAAAAATGTGTAAAAAATAATTAATTTATAAGATGTACTAGAAAAAAAATAATTTATAAAGTAGACTATACCAAAATTATCCTTTCAAATAAATAAAAAATTGAGCCGACCGCCGAACATGCGTCCCTTGAAACCAAAGTTAATCATGAAATGGGTTACAAAGTAATTATAAGCAAAATTAAAAATGGAAAAAAGCGACCGCCATGTTGAAAAAATGACGAACAAAAGTGGCCAATAATATTTAGAAAAAGAAATTAAAAATACCATAAATTATAAAATAATATATATTTTTCCATCACTATCTCTACGTTACAACGGGCCACATCGTCGGCCGGCCCGACGGCGACGCCATACATTGATACATGTACAGAGTGCTTCGCCACATCAGATCCATATATACGCATATACATACATATACATATATGCACGCATATATATATATATATATGTATATGCACACACACTTGTTCATGGGTGTCGGTGAGTGTGTTATGTGCGTATAAATGTAAATATATGTACATGAAGAAGACGATGCAGATGAACTAAAATAGCGGAAGCGGAAATTCTTCACAAGTTGCCAAATTTGGAAGAAATTTTTTTCACCGATTACAAAAGAAAGACAAAGTTCGACGAAATTCAGGCGGTCGCGAAGATTTTGTTTTTGTCATTTCATTTGAATTTTGACCATTTTTTTTCGAAGAGAAGCGGCCGCCGAGGTTAACCGTCACCACCGCAGACGCCGGCCGTTCTTTAATTTTCCGGCGGAATTTTGGAGGAAAACGGGGAAAGCGATGAAGGGGAGGATATCGAAGATCGGAAGCTATGCGATCGCGTCTTCCATTAGAGACCAGCATCAGCAACCTTGCATCTCCTGTACCACTTTCAACATCCTCGCTCCGATCTACAAGCGCCTCTCTCAGAAGGTTTTTCTTTTGTTTTCGTCTTCTTCTTCTTATGATTTCTAGGGTTTATTTTGGGTATGTTTGTGTATGGATGTGTTTGGGCATGAATGCAGGATCAGAGTCAACGAGAAAGCGATTGCAGGGCGTATTGGATGGGCAGGAATCACAGAATTCTCGATTGGCTATTGTACGAGAGATCTTCCATTATTTGTTTGCAGGTTCATTCCTTCGAATTCCATGAGTTTTCGCATTGTTATTTGAAATTCAATTCCCCAATCTCTGTTCCTTATCTTCAAATGTGTGGTTTTCATAGATTCTCCATGGTTGCAGGAGTTTTGGGTAGGCAACGAAGAACTTGTTAATTTGTACGAGAAGAGACTAGGCGACGCTGGTTATCTGAGCTACAAGCTTGCTCGAACCAACAACCGTGGTGATGGTATGATTTCTCGTCCCTCTTTCACAGATTCTCAGATGTTTTTTTTCCTCCTCGAATTCGTGGAATCATGAACATGGGTTGCCTGAGGAACACTGGGAAAGATGTTTCAATGTCTCATCATCTTCTTCGTTTGATGATCGTTGATGGATCGTGCCCAATACATAAACTTTGTTTAATTGAGTTTCTTGGCGATTTCCAGGTCTTCTCACAGCTGTACACAAGGACCATTTCAGAGTTGTCAACTACAGGGAGTTGCTCTTCAACGATTGTGGAGATCGTGTTGCACAATTACTACATGTTGAGTTAGCTCCTCCCTTGTCTAATTGTCCGACGAACAACGGCTCAAGCCAAGAAGTTCTCATCGTAAACACCCACTTGTTGTTCCCTCATGATTCAACTCTATCGATAGTAAGGCTCCAGCAGGTAAATTCCATGTTAAATGTTAATCTCTCAACTGCTGCAACCTACCTGCCATCTGTTTTCGTGAAACACGGTTTCCATGTCAGGTATATAAAATTCTTCAGTACGTGGAATCTTATCAGAAAGAAGTCAATCTCACTCCCATCCCTATAATTCTTTGCGGGTAAACTACAACACCAGCATGTTACATTTCAATATGGCTTCCATCTGACGATCATTTTATTGATTCCTTTGCTTCCATGTGTCGATTTCGTTGTGACAGAGATTGGAATGGAAGTAAACGTGGCCATGTGTACAAGTTTCTCAGGTCACAGGGTTTTGTGTCGTCTTATGACACTGCTCATCGGTATACAGACGCAGATGCTCATAAGGTCCCTGTCTTTTCTGTCTTTTCTTTCTTTCATTTGGATATGCTGGAGAATCTTTCGATGTCTTAATTTGGTGACGGGATTTCTGAATCGTTTGTTTCTATGTTTGGCTAATGCAGTGGGTAAGCCACCGCAATCATCGGGGGAATATATGTGCCGTCGACTTTATCTGGCTTCTCAACCCTAATAAGTACAGAAAGCTACTAGAAACAAGTTGGAGTGAAGCAGTGTTCGGCATGTTCAAGGTGAGAAGCTCTTTCCATTGTTTTTTTCTTCTTCTTTATAGATTCATTTCTTATCCATATGGCTAACTCCTCGGATATTTGACACTCAGTATCTACTGAGGAGAGCCTCGCTGACAGCAGAAGATGCTTTCGCCTTTTTGAAAGCCGACAACGACAATGATGTTGAATACATAACTTACGTGGGCTTCTGTGAGGCTCTTCGGCAGGTATAGAATGTGACTAATGTGGTCTTTACTATGATTCTTTTGACTCTTCTGGCCTTTTCCATTGCCTTGTGTATGGATTTCTTATTCTGCGGTCAAATTGTGTGTACAGCTCAATCTTACGGGTCACTGCAATGGACTCACTAGGAAAGAGATCAGGGATCTATGGGTCCAGGCTGACATTGATGGAAATGGTGTTCTTGATTACAAAGAGTTTCAGGTAAATGTTCTTGGTGGCCCTCCTCTCTTTGAATTTGAACTTGTTCAATACAAACCCAGAGGCTAGTCTTCGCTTGTTTAGTATATATATCTTTAGAATGCTACAAAAGAACAATCGAGACTCTAGAATTTCAAAGATTTGGTTGTGACCCATACACAAGGAAGCCTTACATCTGTTCATATATGTCGACTCAGTTCTTGTCTTGTTTTCCTGTTCGTCACTGCAGCAAAGAATATGGAATCCCACATGGTCAGAACAGAGAGATGAGACCGGTAGGGACACGAGGGAAGGTGAAGCGAAGGGCAGTGAAGAGGAAACCATCGGTTTCAGCGTCAAGAACGCCGTCCTCTTCCCTCCTGAAGTGGAAAAAGGAATGTGGCCGGAAAACTACTCGCTGTCGGATCACGCTAGGCTCACCGTTGTATTCTCGCCAATACGAATGCCGTCATGCTCTCAACCGGGTTCATGACAAAACAAGCCAAACCCTCAGATCAGATGCCGGGAAAAAAGCATGAAAACAGCTCTAGGACCCATCTGGTTCGAGTTTTGTCGGCCATGGGCCATGGCAGCAACCAAAACCATCGGCTCGCAACTCTTGAAGAAGTTAGGTTCATAGGAATCCGTAAGCGATGGCCCAACGATCATCTCTCCTTGCGGCTCTGCACCTCGAGGAAGAAGAGAGAGGAGAAGGGTCGGAAGCTTTTTATTTCTGATAATTATTATACCACTTGTAATCTTAAAAGCATCAAGCTTCATGCATAGATAGATATGATTGTGGGGTAAAAATTGCACGAGAAAAAAAAATCAACTTATTTGTGGGCTTTTCTTTTTTATTTGTAGAGCTCCTTTGTAATTTACTATGTAATACAGCGTCAATAAAAAAAAAAAACAATTATGTTTTATTTTTCGGTAATGTAATCTCAAAGAAGTTGAAAATAATAAGCCCAACAAGAACCCACTAAAACAGTATATGGGCCTAAAATACAGTATGGGCCTAACCCGTATAATAAAGTTCAAACTTCTGTAGTGGTCCCCACCCTGCCCCAGGACTGCGGTATATATTCATAGAAGAATTAGTCTTAAATAATAATAATAATAATAATAATAATATAGAAATCATCCGCTATGATGTCACTTAAATCCACACATTTGCTAACATTTGTAGATAAGATGTTGTCTCATTTGAGATTTTTGTTATAAGATCGAAGGAAATAAAAGCGTTTAAAAAACTTTGATAATATGTCAAAACAATATTTATTAAAAGAATTGATTTAAGTAAAAAAGGCACATTCACCTAAAAATTCATACAAAACCCCAAATGTTATAACTTTTTATGAACTTTTTGAATCGTATCACATTCTCATATATTCAGTGATTTTATAAATTTTGTCATTTCTATATAAAATCATAAATTTATTAATTTTATGATAATACAATAAAATTCATAAAATTCATATTTTTTATAAAAATGATAAAGTTTATAATTTTATATCGTGAATTTTTTAGATGATTATTCTTAAAAGTGTATATATATACATACACATATATTTAGTGTCAACGATGGCGCTAAATAAAAAAATCTAAAAAAAATATTACCAATAATTTTCAGGGACGAATTTGTCCATATATGCCCTTGTTCTACTTCTTCAATATGAGTAGAACAAGGGCATCAGGGAACCATATTCATTTCTTGAAAGACGAAGCTGGCCATAGAATTCAGTCACTAAGAGACATTAAGCGGCATGCAGTTGATTACTTCTCAGCCCTCATTGGGGCAGGACCGAACCAACCTTCAGTTCCATCGGTTCAATCACTACGGGAAGTAACAGAGGCTCGGGTTGAGAGGGATAGTCTTGCTGGCCTCACGGAAATGCCTTCTGCTGATCATATAAAGGGTATTTTGCTCTCGATGCCGAACAATAAGGCACCAGGGCCGGATGGGTACACTAAAGAGTTTTTTGTCTCGGCGTGGGAAGTAGTGGGTGGAGACCTAGTTGCTGCGGTTCAGGAATTCTTCCGCACAGGCCAGCTAATTGGTCAGCTCAATGCCACTGCCATCACGCTCGTCCCTAAGAAACCAGGAGCTGTATCGCTCACGGATTTTAGGCCGATAAGCTGTTGCAATGTGGTCTACAAGGTTATATCTAGCATACTAGCCAAGAGAATTCAACCATTGATGCCAAGTCTGATTTCCCGGAACCAGGCAGCCTTCACAAGGGGACGATTAATGCTGGATAATGTGATGTTAGCTAGTGAAATAATCACGGGCTACGCTCGTAGATCGGCTGCAAAGGGAGCAACAATCAAAGTTGATATTAGGAAGGCGTTTGATACACTGAACTGGGAATTCATTATCAGGGTTCTTGAGGCTATTAACCTGCCAGCTACATTCATTCGATGGATCAGAGCTTGCATCACAACCCCACATTTCTCTGTTGCAATAAACGGTGAACTAGCGGGATATTTCAAAAGCGGGAGAGGGTTGAGGCAAGGGGATCCCTTATCCCCCTACCTCTTCATCTTAGCCATTGATATCCTTTCTAGGATGCTGGATAAAGCGAGTGCAGCGGGTCGATTGAAACCTCATCACAAATGCTTGCGACCAAAGATTACCCATCTTGCCTTTGCGGATGATGTACTTGTATTTTGCAAAGCTGATCTAGATTCTATGCATGAGGTCAAACGTATATTGGAGGAGTTTGGAGCCATGTCTGGGTTGCATGTAAACAACGACAAATCTGAGGTATTCTTCAGCGGAACCACTGCTGTTGAAGCCTCGGCCATGGCTGGAATCCTTGGTTGCACAATCGGGAATCTGCCTGTCCGCTACTTAGGGGTACCGCTGAGTCATCGGAAGCCTTGCAAGTCTGATTATTATCCTCTTGTTGAGAGGATAAAGGCAAAACTTGCCTCCTGGACGAACCACTTTCTATCACGGGCGGGTAAATTATTGTTAATCCGTTCTGTTATTTATGGACAGGTGCTTCTATGGAGTTCGATCTTTCTCATTCCCAAATGCATCATCAAGGCGATTAATGGGATATGTGCATCTTTCCTATGGGCACGTAAGGGGGACGAGGTGCGGAAAACCGTTTCGAGGGTTGCCTGGGAACAAGTTTGCCGCCCAACTTCTGAGGGTGGACTTGGCCTTAGGAAGCTACTAGACATCAACATGGTGCAACGGCTGAAACTCACTTGGCATATGCTCACAAAGACCGAATCGCTTTGGTCTGATTGGCTACAAAGGAATATCTGGAAGCAGAAGGGGTATTGGGGTGCTGCTAGCTCAACTACACACTCGTGGAACCTTCGCAAGTTGTTGGCATTGCGTGATACGGTGAAGCAATTTATGCGGTATGAGGTTGGCGACGGGAAAACAACTTCCTTTTGGCATGACTGTTGGTTGGGTCCTCGACCGCTCATTGATGTTGCAGGGCACTTAGGGCCAAGATTGCTTCGGATCCCACGTGACAGCAATGTTCGAGGAGCTATTTCTGAAGGAAATTGGACAGTGGGTGGAGCACGATCACAGGGCCTGCAGGACATTCTCACGGCCCTAACAACTGCCCCCATCCCGGATGATGCAAAAGGCCCGGACAAACCGCTTTGGAAGCACAAGGATGGAGTGCATAAGCAATGGTTTTCCAACTCCAGCACATGGATGTTACTTCGGCAGCACCAACCTGAGGTATCGTGGCATGAGATTGTATGGTTTAAGCATCACATACCGAGATTTTCTTTCTTGTTATGGGAGATTATGTTGTTGCGATTACCGACTAAGGATAGACTTGCTCGATGGGGAATACAAATGGACCCAACCTGTGTGCTTTGTCAAAGGGGTTCGGAAACGCACCAACATTTATTCTTTGAGTGCGAGTTCAGCTCAAGGATATGGTTGACAATGGGGAGTTTGATATGGCCATCTCCGCCGATGAGTGTATTCCAATGCAGGGAATGGATGGTTGATCGGGCAACCGACACGAGCCATAGCAAGCCGCTCATAGGCAGATTGATCCTACAGATTACAGTGTACCAAATCTGGAAGGAACGGAACAATAGGATTTTCCGATCGGAGCGAACGACGAGTGATGTGATTCAACAGCGGATTGATCGAGTATTGCGCAACATCCTGATTTCTGTTACAATGGCAAGTAACGGTGGCAGCCTTTCCACGTTGCAAGACTGGTTCTTCTTGTCGGAAAGTATCCGAACGCACCAACGTTAGAAACACGCACACCACATTCACATTTTGCTTATTTTGTGACATGGTTATCCTATTTTGTACGGCTGTGGCTGGATGTTTTGTAAGTAAACTATTTTAAATTAATGGATAGATTCACCTTATACCAAAAAAAAAACCCATTATGCATAAAAAGTTAACATTAAAACCTCTCTCTCTCTCTCTCTCTATATATATATACATATATATGCACACACACACCATAATCGGATTATATGTATATTAGATCATGTTTTCTTTCAGTAATCAAAGTCCAATACCGTGTTCATGTTTTGCTTTTTTCCAAGGAGAAGTGTGATTCTGTTGGATTCGATATCTTGGTCGAGCGCTTTTAGGTTTGTTAAAACGATGTTTTGTTTGCAGGTGGGACCCATCATTTTGACCTATTGATTATAAATATATACATATATATATATTATATGTTTGTACCAATTATGAGAGCATTATTCAACTCCATTAATTAGAGGTGTGATTGTTGGTTAATTAGTGGATGGTGATTATGGGTATATTCAATTGTATGACTAACCCCATTCATTATTGTGGAAAATATCCCAACTGTGCATATAAACTATAACGTTCTTATCTTTCTTTAATGAAATAAACCGTCATATTACAGAGTATTGCGAGGAAATGACAATAAACATTTCCACGGGTCTAGACAAAGAGATGGGACCAAATAATATATATATATATATATATTTGAGCCGAATCTAATTTTGGGTTCGATTGGTTTGTAACATTAAATTTTGTATGAATTTTTATAGTGTAATTAACATAACCATAGGATATAACATTAAATTTTGCCCAGAAGGAAAAAAAATCATCTTGGTATAACCGGCGTACAGTGCATGCGTGTTGACATCTTTCGTAATCCAATTTTTTAAGGAAAAAAAATGATTAAAGATTCACTGATCTGATACACTGCATCTTTTTCACCATCCACTCCAAATCCAAGATCCAAACAAACCCTCAAGCTCTCTGTATATATAGCTCTATATATATATCATTCAGGTCGCGTATCTGTAAATATTCTGTTTTCTCGCTCCACAAGCAACCGAGATGGCGAATTCCATCACCTCTTCCAGTGCCTCCGCGTACAAGAACGATGAAGCGGCGAAGGAGACAGAGACGAGGAGATGGAAGAAATGGTTGAAGAAGGTCCTCGGGAATCTCCCAAGATTCTGCATCAGTTTGTCGGGAAAACGTCTGGGAAGGAACGGACAAGAATCCAAGAACCGCGCTCTCCGGTCTAAAGAAGATTCTGCGTCGGAAGAGAGAGGAGGGAGGAGGAGGAGGATCAAAGTTGTGGTGACAAGACAGCAGCTTCAGCTGTTGTTGACGAAGCAAATGTCGGCGGAGCAACTGTTCTCCGTGTTGCGAAGAAGGAGTCTCGAGTCTCTACACGAGAGGTGGAAACCAGAGCTTGAATTCATCCATGAAGGAGACGAACTTTGATTTTTCTTTTTCTTTTTATATGTCGATACTAACTGAATCGTGCTATGAACTGAACCTGTAAAATATTAAAATAAAATGGAATAAAAAAACTGTGGTTTTGTTTTCATAATCTCGGCCTTGGGAGTGTATTCGAACCTCTCTGCTAAGTACATTACATGAAAACATATACGTATATGTATATATACACATACATATAGGAAGGACTATATGCGACGAGAGCTCTGGAAGAGAGAGAAAAAGAAAAGGATTTATTATGTTTGGATCTATTGAATGAATTGAGATTTCGGATTTTTCGAAGTGGAAAATGAAAAGAAACTAGGGGGAAATCCAGCTCAGTTGGAAAATAAGAAGCCCCTCTAGTCGAGGTTATGAGTTCGATTTCTCATGATGTCAAACTTTCTCCTGAACTGGTCAGTTTCGACTGGTTTATCCGCTCTGTGCAGCTTGTCGGCGGGTGCGTGGGGCAGTGTGGGTTTATTGTCCGCGATGCTGTGTCATTCGTCCGTTCCTTCGAAGAGGGCTGCGAGGCGTTGCAATGTCCGGCCCAAAGAGTTACAGGGCACATTCCCAAACGCTAAAAAAAATGAAATGAAAAGAAACTATGTTTCTATAGTTAGCGGTGAGGATGACAGAAGGGAAGAGAGGGAGGGAGGGAGGGTGGAGCCACTGCTGTCTAGAATGTCTATTGGTCTAAAACAATTTGACATACAAAAATGAACAGGATGTCAATTTTGCTTCGAAATCGATCCAAATCCACTCAAAAAATACCCAATTTCGAGCCTTAATTCGATCGGTTTTCTGTCAAGGTCAGTCAAATCTGAGCCAGAACCTAAATCTATAGGACCAAACTTTGGACTTGATTATATAGACCAAAAACAATTCAGGCCAGCCCGAGCCAATCCGAAACCTTTGGACCGGGCCGAACCGGCCCATTTGACACTCCTAAAAATGAGCCCTAATCGTTTCACCTTCTCACCTCTCCCCCACTAGACCCTCTCCCCTTTTATCTCCCCTTTTCCTCAGATTTGGGTATCAGGGTATCTCCGACCCCAGTCAAAGCCCGAACTCGAACCTAAAAATCGGATTACCGCAGTCATCAGACCCGTTCTCATCCCATCTGTACTCGAAATTTCGGATCCCGTGGTCACGCCTATCAGCCTTGATCTTGTACTTATCGCAGGTGTCGGGAAGTTGATAAAAGCTGTAGCTCCTATTGGACCTATATGATATCCAAAGGATCTCCCTCTCTCTATACACACGCATATACACTCACATATTGATATATATCGAGAATACATACTCAAACCTGTTTGACAGAAAATTGCCATGTTTATAGCTACTGTTTCATTCAACCCGAGCCTTATGTGCAGAGAGCTGCCTGAAGATCAAAGCTTTGAAGAAGGCATGAAAGATGATGGATCCATTTGCTTTCTTTACAAAAAGATCTATCAGTTCAGTCTTTGAACGAGAAAAAAACCCTTAGCCTTTTTTTTTTTTGAATCACATTCTCATGAAAACAAACAAACAGGTAAATTGCCCAGTGTCTTCTTTGTTTTGAAACACATGGGGTGGTTTTTCAAGTTATTCTCAAGAGCAGAAAGTTGCAGGCCAAAACCCTAATCAGTCAGCCCTCGGCATGTTGAGGGGCTTCGGCGTGTTTTGAACTCTCCAGAGCAGAGATCCTTCTGTCTAGAGAGTCATGAATCGATTTCACCTGCAACAAGCAAAGCATCACATCTAATGTCAACGGCCGAGATCCTCCATATTCGATCTCAGACCATTAAGCCCAGAATCTACAGGAAAACATGGTAAGAGAACAGAAGCAGCCATGGCATCGGGGGTCAAAGTTCCATTCCCAACTCATAAACTGCCTGTAAAAAGCATGTATGTGGATCTCAAATCATAAGGCATCAGCAAGCTAGAAAGCTACATAACCCAAGTAGTGCCTAAATTGCCTGATTCCTCCATAAGTAGCGGCGTGGAAATGGCAAAAGAGATTGGGTTTTTGTACAAGAAGGTGGTATCAAGGACATATAACTGATGACGATGACTATGACGCTGATGATTTCAGGCAGACAGAAAGATCAGGCCGGCAGCCGTCAACTATCTTCATACTAAGTGACCGATACGATTGAAAACATTCCCAAAGATGAGATTCTGTCATGCAAAGACAAGAACCCTAGCATGCCCTAGAAATTTCTGGGTTACGCATCAAGCTCTTCACCGAAAATTCCATCCAGCAATCGCAACACCGTACTAAGAAAAACCCAGAAAATTTCGGAAAAAATCCAACAGAAAACCGAATCTAATCGACTATATAGGCGATGAAAGCATGGGATACGGAATCAAATAGCGAAAAGCATAACAGGAGGAATGATTTGGGGGGGGGGGAAACCTGGTGAGAGATGGAATCATGAGCGACCTTGTAGTCCTTGTAAAGGATGGATAATCCGACAAAGGACGCCGTAGCAGCTCCGACGAAGAAAGACGCCAATCTCACCCTCAACACGTACCCCATCTTCCTCTCCTTCCCCTTCTCTCTCTCTGATGAAATCCCCCCCCCCCTGCGACCGAGGTTTAGAGACCACTCCCCAGCGAAACGACGCCGTTTCTTTCCAACTTCTAAATTTACGCGGCTTCAGCTAAAACGACGTCTCTGGTTCAACCGCACCCACCCAGGCAAGATTTTGAAACTAGCATACCAAAGTACCAACATTGTACCCAAACTGAAAATTTACATTTAAAAAAAAAAATCTTTTGATCAATTAGTTTCGAAATTTGGACCCTGGTAATATAACCATTTTCTAATGCCCCTTGAAAAAGATGAGATTTCACTAGCAGATGCATAGCTGCTGCTCTAACACTGGTTGTATATGAGCATTTTACCAGACATCGAGGAAGGACTAAGAAAGCAAATAGAACCCCAGATTTAACCGGAAAAAAAAAACAGAAAACACTCCGGTTATAGATAAATCGCGAGATTTAACGCCAAAACTTAAAGATTTAAGATTTAAATTAAAAATAGAGTTAGTTTCACTCCTATGTTTTTTTTTTCATTCTGAGGTCAGAAAGAAGGGCATTGAGATCTTCCCCCCTCTTCTGCTTCAACATGTTCTTAGCAATCTCTCTCCCCGGTCGCCGCTTTGTCCGTCCGTTCATCCATTTTTCTCGATCATCCTGCAGTAAGGAAACGTCAAATAGATATCGACTCGACCCATACCACGAACCAGATTTTTTCTTATCGTTCTTCCGGTCATACAGTTTATGCAGGCAGAGCCCTTCCTCTTATCTTCGTGTGGCAGAAGATGCTCCATTGCCCCTACTGCTGCAAAATTTCGGATCCACGCAAAAAGACCCATGAATTCCATCGGAGAAAAAAAAACCGAGATAAGTTCGTTTTCTTCTTAGTCTGGAAAAACGGGTTATACCTTCCTTGTCTACCCTGAGAATCCCGAGGAGGCTTGGTCAGGATCTTTATGTTCCCGAGGCCTTCGTTCATTCCATAGTGGACGCCATTTGGAGCAGAGAGGCGTGGATGATTCTCGGAGGCAATTACTGTTTTGTCGGTCTTCTTGAACGCATGAGACTGAGCCATTGGAGTCATGGCCACGACATACATCGAGTCGGCTGATGATGCTGCAGCTGCCGCTGCTGCAACTTTGGCCGCCGCTGCTGAAGCCGCCACCATCTTCTGTGCTCCTTCTCGCAGTTGGATGAAGTCTCCCTCTATCACGAATAACTACAACCCACACAACCATATTTAAGTAAACATACTTGCGAGGAGATTTTAAATTTTTAACAGTGTTTAGAAGAATCCGAAAATGAAAACTAAAACGTAGCATACTGATAAACCCACTAGGGATTCATTAGGGTTTTCTAAATTTATACAATGTTTAAGGAATGCAATTGAAAATAGTATTTAACCTCCCCTCAACTTTCTGATCGACTCTGATAATTCATAAAACTGGAAAACTAATCCTTTTATAGAGTTTAGAAAATATAACAAAAACCTAAGATACCCTAACTATAAACTAAATCACCAAAGTTCTTAAACGATAAAATAATTAACTAAAAGCCTATATTTTAGCAGTCTAACACATACCTCCGGATGGCTGGCAACGAAATCGTCCAACTTTCCGTACTTTTTCCTGTAATCATGCCAATGCAGAGGTGCAAGCATTTTGCCCAACCGATTTGGAAGCTGTAGATGTCCATGGAGAATACGTATTAGCCACAACATTAGAAACGCATGGCTAAGATGCAAGGTCTGGTCGGTGTTGAGTTTGCTAACCGTTGAGCTAATGCAGATTCTACCACCAGCTGGTATAGTACGTACTATGCAAGCCAAGAGAGACCGTTCATCGAGAAGAGCGTTATCTGAGTTCCTCCCGGCTGTCCCAGATGAGAGAATAGTTCCAGATACAGTGGATCCGGTACCATTGCTAACAACAGTACCAGTTGGAGATGCAGCACTGGCAGAACCCTTTTGTTCATCAGGTGGAAGCTCACCATTAGGCTCCTGGCGACAGATTGAATCAAAGACCGAGATTTGTTCTTATGTTTCTTATAAACAACCTAATTAGGCTCGGGTGGATTAGAAAAGACAGCAGGAAAAAACACACATACCTCAGTCTTGTGATTTGGAGCATGAGAGTCTATCCTTAGCATATCATGAAACTTTGAAGAGATGTCTTGAAAGTTATTCTGGGATCGGCCAGATGAGAGATATTCTCCATTGCTAGAATCCCCTGCCTGCGAGGAATAGTTTTCATCGAACATTATACCACATACAACACATGCTTCACCACACAAACAGGAATGTCTCCATGCAAACAAATAACCTGTGCTTTCACAGAGGACGATGACAAGGCCGGCCCAGGCCGTGCTCCTTGGCTGCTTTGAACACCCAGAAATGTTTGACCAAGTGACTGCCCATTTCCAGGCATCTGATATTCAGACTTGGCATCAGATCTTACCAAGCCATTATCACCCTGAGATGGAGGATTATGATTCTGCACTGATGATATCTGAGAACTCTCAAGTACAGCCTGATGAACAACATGAAAAAATAGTGGTCATTAACTGCAAGATGGAGAACAAAAGGCGTCTTGTAAAGCTCACACCTTATGATGCTGCCACTGGTGCATAGAAGACACTGGAAGAGCCGATTGAGCAACATGAGATGGGGGACCTTGAGGCTGAGGTACCCCTTGTTGATGCATTACAAAAGAATGGAGAGGGGTCATCTGACCCGGTGGAAGGTATGCATGCATCTCAACTACGGAGGAAGGAGCCATCGGCAACCCGGCAGCACGGTTCTAAAGCAAGCATAACAAGAGATAGACAAAGTTACTACTGCCGTGATAAACTATGTTTAAAAGTATTTCGCAACCTGTCGTTTTAACACCGACAACGCAAAGAAAACATGAACACATAAATTCAAAACTAAAAACCACGGGATTTCAACCAAAGGCTCTTTTGATTTTTACCACAACTACTTCAGCTGCTGGTGAAGTTCAATATATTCCATTTTCAATGTAAATTTATAACATCAAAGACCTAATAAATATGAGCAGTGCGCCCAACGGAGCGAAAATAGCCATCTCAACATGCATTTCCATGTCTTCATTTTTTAGAATAACCAGCCATCTTGCTTTGTAGATGCAAGATGCAATAAGAGAGTATTATACGTCAAACAATCACTGAGGAAAAACACGTACCTGAGCAACTGTATCATCAGTAGAAGTAAAAGACTGAATATTGTCTGAACTTTTTCCACGTGAATGGATGTTATTGTTAGAACTAGCTGGACTACTTCCGTTTGCCTCAAGTTGGTTTCCATTGCTCTGGACAATCTGGGAGGTGCTGTTGGAATTTGTTCTGGATATGTGTGACTCATCCGTGAAAGATCCACCCCTTTCCCTCACATTGGCAAGCTCAATCTGAAGCTGTTGCACTGTATGCAGATGCACTCTCTCCATCTCTGCAAACTGAACTCAATGACAACAAAAGAGATCAGAAAGGGATTAACAATCATTTCCAGTAAAAAGACACTAGAAAAAATAACCAACCTGTCTCTGACAACCAATCCATAGCTGATTATACTGCTCCGTACGTTCCCGCAGTTCCGTCTGCAGCGAATGATTAGTAGATGATTGCAAAACATCCACCTCTTGGACACGGGCAATCCAGGCTTGAGCTTCTCTCAGTTGCTCATCCTTGTAAAGGATGGTTTCTTGAGCAATCCTATTCTGTAGGCCATCAAGCACAATGGATTCTGATTAGTCTATTGAACTACAAAAGTGGATACATTAAGACATTTCAGTGCATGAATCTAAATTTATTGAGATATTTCAACAGATTTTAAACTTGTTGTGAGAAATTTTATAGAAAAAAGAGACAAGACCTGTTCCTGCAACTCAATAAGCTGCCTCTCTTTCTCCTGGATATGCTCCTGAAGTTCACAAATTTGCTGTATATGTTGGGATCTCTCGGCTTCAGAGTGATCACGCTCCCTTCTGCATGATCAAAAAATTGGAGTGGTCCAATAAAATATCCACTGAGGCTCAGTGCCAGACAAAGATTTCTAAAGATTAATATCAAAAGGGAAGAGCCGTAGAAGTACAGAGAATATATTAGTAAAAAGTTACACAACACATTAAGGACTTATCAAGCACAAACAGTGAAGAAAATCAACAAGGAGAGAAAGAAATCAATCAGGACACCTGAATGTTGCTAGTTCTTTGTTTTGTTCTCGGAGGAGATCTTCTTTGGCCCAAGCCTGCAGGCATCATACAAGGGAGACTAAGGGACAAAATCACTGAGATATAGTAATGAACGCCTAAACGTAAACGAAAAAGTAACAGACCGCTTCGGTATCCAATTTAATTGCATGTAGCTCTCTGTCTTTCTCATCCATCTTCCTCTCCAGCTCTCGTATAGTTCTCTCCTTCTCATGAAGTTGCTCCTAACATATTTATTTAACATGTAAATGCTGGTGCTGGATGAAACAGAAAAACCTAAGCAACAACCAGAATGATAGATTTCAACACAGATCAGAAACGTGAGCAAAAAACCGACCTGTAGTTTGGCAGCAGCATTAGCATGCTCTTTGATTTGGGTCTCAAAGTTGGTCTGCATTTCCACGATCTCAGATTTCACAATTATTTGAGCTCGAAGCTCGATTTCCAGTTGCTGCAGTTCTTCTTTCTGTCTAGAAATGCTGTGGAGTCTCTGCTGCAAGATATCACTATCCGAGCCACCGTCCACAGTTATGGAGCAGAAATCCACATCAACCGGCTCCCTTCCATGCTGCATCATAAAAATATTGATGCTTGTTCTGGTAATTAACAAACCAGTATCATACAATCATTGCAAGACAAAGGTGTTTTACCTCGTATATAGTTCTCTCGTCTGAACGGTCCAGCTTTAACTGTTCCAAATCCTGCAAAACATGTGTTCCCAACTCATGAGAAACAAAAAAAAAACAATATTTGCTGGAAGACGAACATATGCATGTATTTTTCAAGCGAAATAGCCAAAATGAAAACAAAACCCTTTTGCTCCATTGTTAACAAGAGCACCAAACCAACACCAAGATAACTCTAATATCATGCTAAAAGTAATAACTACCATAGGCAGACAAATCAACAGCACACATACTACACAAAAGCAGCGTTTCCTTGCGTTTCCTTCTTATCAGTCCTCACAAAAGCCAGCATTCAACTGAGCAACGGCATTACAAACCGACAGTGCGAGGCTCAAGTCGTAGAAAAGCAAATAAAACAGTACCAGACAACCAAAACCCCAGGTTCAGCTCACCGATTTCTACCATTCCGCAAAGTTCCAAGACAAAAAAAAACTAAAAAATCAGAAATATTCACGTCTCCGGGAGCATATTACCGCATCATCCGCAGAATTTCCACCAGAATGAGGATCTGAAACGGCACGCCATTCTTTCCGGGACGATGACGGCGAAGGAATCCGCATAGAACAACCACGAGTAGCGGCTACGCCAGCAGCGGACTCCATTGCAACAAAACCCACCGAGTCAGCTCCAACTCGTACACCTCTGTTGACACCGAAGTCTAGGGTTTATCGGAAAGCAGGGAAGAAACCCTAGAATCGTAACCTGGAACAGATACCAAAAAATCCTACGGCAAACACGGGCTGAGAGCTGATGAAACTCCGGTTAACGAAGAAATTGACCGCATGGGATCAGTGAGTGACAATGGAGGGAGGGGTTGACGGGGAGGAGACGAAGTGCGCGAGAGAGAAGAGATTGACAGACAATAATTGGGCACCGTAATGGGAAATTTTACGAAGAGGCGGATCCTCCCGTATTTATAGGACAGTTTCCTCACCTGTGTGGAAATGGTTTTGTGGAGGCCCAATGGGCCTACTTTATTTAGGCCTATTAGGATCAGCCCAATGTAGACACGTCATATATACAACCCTAATCTACACATTACACAACCTATGAAGGTCCAAGTAGGGTATAAAACGGGTTGATCCGGCCTTGCCCAATCCATTCCGTCTCAATTTCAGATTTTTTTTTTTAATTCAGGTTGGTTTGATCCGTTTTTTGGTAAATCAAAAATTAGTTGGTTCAATCCAATTCATTTTGGATTATGCCAAACGAACCGATTCGACAAATAAAAAATTTAACTAAAAAAACGTTACATTAAAAATTAAAAATCAAAACAAAATAAGTCAAATATCCATTAAAAATACAATTTAAATATAAAAAAATAAAAGTCAAATTCGAATTGACCACAATTTGAACCCAACCGAATTCTGAATAAACAAATTGATATATATATTTTTTGTTATAAAAACAAAATAGAAACACTTAAAAAAGGAATATAACAAAAAAAAAACCCAAATATCTTTCCCACATGACAGGATCATCCGATCCATTACAGGCTGAATTGCATCATCCCCACCACCTTTCATGCTAGTATTTTATTTCATGATAATTATTATAAATAAAAGGTGCTCAATGTTGAATAATTTATTAGAAATTAATTTATTGATAAGGCTACTTTGACCTAGAGATGGGGACTTAGACAACTTTTTATTTCTCCCAATGATTAATCTTACCAATGAAATCAATGTATTATACATGGACATGCCTTGTCTTTCAAGCAACAAAAAATGCTTAGCCCTAGAAGATAAAACGTTTGTTTATGTCCACAACTTGTCTTTTTGACGTGTTTTCCATTCATATATAGTATTGAATTTCCCCATTTCAAATCCCATTAATTTCCAAAATCATGTGTGTTTAAACTCACAATAGACCGTTGAGAGTGGAGACGAACTGTTACGTTATCTACGCTTTGTGTCGTCAAACACTTTCCAACTATGGTTAACATAAATCCGGAAACGTATTATAATATTATATATAAACACAAATTACGTTTCGTTTTATGGAATATCGTATATATTTTGTTTTAACTAAATATAATGTCTACGAACGAATAAAATTATAAAATAATCTCATCATTTAACTGATTTTTGAGTAAAAATATAGGATCTAGTAGAGTTTAATAGGTCAACTTGAAATGATTATATCTACTTTTAGGTAATTTGATATAATTCTATTAATGAATCATAATTATGTTGCTGTAACGTCCGGTCGGGGAAGTAAAATCTCACTAGGACTTTAACTTTGGATGACACGTGTCATTCAGATACGGCGCGCCTGTAAATATCCGCAAAGAACGAAAGTAAAACCAAAAGTAACGACGCCGTTTAATCATTTGGTCCAGCTACCATTGGCGCGTGGAGTTTCTCGAGCCCGTGATCTCACGCGCGAGAAAGGGCAATTTTTGTGTACAAAAGAAAAAAAGGAAAGAAAAGAACTGAAAAAAGGAAACACAGACAGAGCAAAGTGGTTAGACAGAGACAGAGGCTTCTTCTCTTTTCAGCTTCGGGGTGCCGAAGAAGACGCGGCGGAGGATCAACGGTGAAACATTACACAGTGACAGATTCCTCTCTCTCTCTCTCTCTGAGGGAGTGACAAATCGGTCATTTCGATGCCGGGCTTCCGCCGCTGCTTACCTTCCGGCGGGGGCTCTGCCACCTGCGGCGTTGCTACGGAGATTCGCCGTGTCCGATACTTTTCATCGAGGAATGGCTTTGTTCCCCTTGATTATCCTTAGTCCGCTACATAACGAGCCGGAAAATTTATTTTGGATGATTTGATTTGGTAGATTTAAGTTTGAGATTAGATGAAATCATGAAAGCGTTACGGCGAAGCCACACCTCCACTTCGTCTGGGAATCCGACGTTTTCGGCTTCTTCCTCTTCTTCTTGGACCCATCTCCGATCGGTTCTTTTCGTAGCGAACCCTTCATCCCAATATTCGACCCCTTCGTCCGATCGGTGAGTGTCACTGACCCAGGAAAAGAGTGTCACCAAAAGTTGTAAGATTTCGATTCGCAGATCCGATCTTAAGCTGTCTCCGAGTGCCCGTTTAGTTGCTTGCTGTGTTCATCCCATGTTTCAGCTTAAGTGATGCTCAAGCTTCATAATTTCTCAGAAAATCTTCAGTAAAGTCTCTCTTTTTCGCTTAGTCATCTTTCTTTGTGTATGTTTCTTGTGTAGGAGTCGGCGGAAATCTCCGTGGTCTCGCCGGAAAAGGAAACCGGCACTCACGCCGCAACAGTGGAAGAGTTTGTTCACGCCGGAGGGCAAATTCCGTGATGGCGGGGTTGGATTCCTGAAGAAAGTCAGAAGCAGAGTGAGTTTTTTGCCACGTAGCCCATCTCTTGTTTCATGATCTAATCTCATCTGGTCTATGGTTCTGACACGCCGTCGCCTTGTCATGTTGTCTTCGTCGTAGGGTGTTGATTCCAGCATCCGACCAGAAGTGTGGTTGTTCCTACTCGGAGTGTGAGTGTTCTGCAACCGCGATTTCGGTGTGTCCGAATACGAAACCTGAAAGCGGTTTTCGTCTCTTTTATTGCAGGTATGACTTGAACAGCTCCGGTGAAGAAAGAGAGGTGGTAAGAACCGAGAAAAGGTTAGAAAAAAACAGACCCAGTTCGGTCTTGTTTGTATAATGCTGCAGGTTCAGACAATCTTCTGTCTTGTGTGGGAAGTTCACTTTGGTCTGTGAATGCAGGAAGGAGTATGAGAAACTGCAGAGACAGTGCCGGATGCTTCTGACCTGCTGCAATGGAAGTAATCAAAATGGTTGCAATGGAAATTCATCTGATGTTGGTGATGATCGGTGCTGCCCCGAAGAAGCTACCGAGTCTCCTTTCGGAGAGATCAACAGCCATAACATCGGATTCGTGGATGAACCCGAACCCGAACCCTCCGCCC